GCAACCCTGTATATAAGCTACTGTGCCGAGTAGTAACCCTGTACATAAGCTACTGTGCCGAGTAGCATTTATATATATAATCACGTGGCAACACTGCACGTGTTATGTGGCAATATTGCCCCGAGGCTGCCATATGGCAAGGCAGCCTCAGTTTGACTGTGTGAGCCGTGCATGGCACTCGCAAGTCACCACTTGTATTTCTCTCATCCATAATAAACGGACTCAGTGTTACTCAGTGATTCCCTACCCATCACTGCATTCTTTGGGGAACACTTGTAACCATCATGGTGCAGTGATGAGGATCTGTGGACTTACAAAGTGTGTGAACGGTGCCGAGACAGTTACGTCTGCCGGTGATGCGTCGACTCATAGTGTGTTGTGTTGCGCTGTGTTTCGCCGCGATGTGCAGTGTTGGGCCGTCACAGTGCGTTTTAGTGACGGTGGCAGTGTTAGTGTATTACTGTGTGTCTAGAGCTGAGAGTTGAGCATTGGCCTGTTTTTTGTGGTACCCACAGAGCACGCAGGCGTACACCCTTCTCGTGTGACATCCCAGGTGATACTGACGGTCTCACTCCCGCCGTGTCTCCAGCCACCGGCATTAGGGCCACCACGAAGCGATCTCTCAGACACACACACACGCACGCACGCACGCACTCACTCACTCACGGACAGAACAGTGGACCATATGCGTATTTCTGCGCTGTTTGTCATATATATGTGGTTCGAGCTGTTGAGGCGCCACTTTATATACTAAACAGTGCAGTCCACGCACACACAAAGATGGGAGGTAAGAAGGGACAACGTCAAGATGGGAGACACGACTACCCACCACCTTCCCCTCCACCGGGCGCAAACTCTCATCCTCCACCTCCTGTGACGGACATTGCCACAATTCTGAGGTGGATGGACGACCGGGACGAGAGACGCAGAGAGATGGAACTTCAGAGGGAGGAGACACGAAGAGAGGAGGAAAAGTTGCGTTTTGAGGCACTATTGGCGACCCTGGTGCTAACCCACCCTCCCTCACTCGCAGGTAGCGCGCTTCAAGGCGCCAGTACACTCCCTCCTCCACCACACCAGCGTCCTCCAGGTACGCTTGCCTCCAAACAAACAGCTCCCAAGGCATCTGTTCAACCCCCACCCGCCCTCTCACCAGACGTCACGTTTCAGCTTTTTCGTGAGTGGAGGCGGCGTTGGACAGATTACTCCACGATGGTGGACCTGGACAGCATGCCTCCAAACAAACAGCTCATCCAACTGCGGATGTGTTTGTCGCTGGAGACCCAGAGAGTTTTGGAGCACACGTTGCAAGTGCCTCCCGATTCTACCTCTTCAGTGACGGATGTGCTCGACCTTTTACAGGAGCATGTTAAGGGTCGGAACAACGAGGCTTTGCGTCGCCGTGCCTTCACCAGCTGCAAGCAGGCGGAGAACGAATCCTTGACGACTTTTTTGTACGCTTGAAGAGTTTGTCAGAGGAGATCGACGTCTGCAAGGCGCACAGCCGGGAATGTGAGGAAGCCTGGATCAAGCACGGGATCTTGACAGGTGTCAGGCACGAAGAGTTGATGCAGCGACTCATCCCCCTGGACGCTTCCTCCACACTCCAGGTGGTAGTGACTGAATGTCGGTCGTATGAGGCCACCAAGTCCGCCACCTCTGCCTTTCGGGCCCCACCTGCTGTGAGAGCAATCTCTCAGTACAAGAAGGGTAAGAAGGCGGCCAACAACGCGAAGGCTGCCACACGTTCTTCCACGCCTCCGCCTAGTGCTTCCTGTGGCAGCTGTGGAAAGCAGCACAGCCCCAAGACATGCCCGGCCGCCGACGCACTGTGTCGTGGATGTGATCGTAAGGGCCACTGGTCTAACACAGACAGGTGCCCTGCACGAGGCCGCAAGTGTCAGGCCTGCGGTCGCTATGGACACTACGACAAGTGCTGCCGCCAACCGAAGCCCAAAAGTCTGAGACGAGGAGGAAAGCAGCGCACTTCCCTCGGGGTTGTTCGCACGCAGCCCCCTCCAGATGACCCACGCAGCCCCAAGCAGCAGCGGAGTCACATCAGGAGGGTGGACTCGACCACACGCCCCAGGGCTACCCCTTCCCCTACCATCCGCGTCGCCGTCACACACGGTGATGTGTCGGGTCACATCGAGGTGATACCGGACACCGGCGCCGATACTACGGTGATTGGGTTGAAGCACCTCCAGAAACTGGGCCTCACCAAATGTGACCTGGGACCACCGCCACAGCTGCTGTACTACAATGCGGATGGTTCCCAGATGCCGGACGCTGTGGGCTCCTTTCAAGCGGAGATCACTTACGGCGACAGGTCGTGTCACGGTTGGATCGACGTGCAGCCTACTATCGCGACACCCTTGTTGTCGTGGGAGCACCTCAAGGAGTTATGCGGGGTGCCCAGAGACTTTCCCGAGCAGATCCCAGCTGCTCGTTACACCGCCAGCAGGGTGCGTGAGTCGACGAGCGAAGCGCCTGGCGCTGCCACACGGAGCTGCCCAGAACTCGCGTCCATTCCCACCCACACAGGACGCTCCCCTGCCCAGATCCTGTATGGTCACCCTCTCCATTCTTGCGTTCCTACACACGCCAAGGCCTTTGCGAAGGACTGGCAGACCAGAGCCGAGAGCTGCGACCGCCGCGCCGCTTCACGTGCCCAGGACGCCAAGGCTCGGTATGACGACCGTGCCCGCCCTCTTCAGCCACTGGAGATTGGTGCCCTTGTCCGCGTCCAGGACCCGACGACGACACGTTGGGACAAGGTGGGCATAGTGATGGGCGTCGGCCGGTCGCGGGACTACAAGGTCAGGATGCCGAGCGGCCGTGTCTGGTGGAGGAACCGCCGCTTCCTCCGGCCAGTCCCACCCCCTGCTGCTGGCCCCCTGACCGAGGACGAGTCACCTACACCTCACGAGAATCCGCCCCACAGTGCACCTCGACGCTCGGAGCGACTTAGGACTAAGAATTCCGCTCAAGACAAAGACTATGAGAGTGAGGGGGGAGGGAGATGTAGGTTATGTACCTAAGCTACTGTGCCGAGTAGCAACCCTGTATATAAGATACTGTGCCGAGTAGCAACCCTGTACATAAGCTACTGTGCCGAGTAGCATTTATATATATAATCACGTGGCAACATTGCCCCGAGGCTGCCATATGGCAAGGCAGCCTCAGTCTGACTGTGTGAGCCGTGCATGGCACTCGCGAGTCACCACTTGTATTTCTCTCATCCATAATAAACGGACTCAGTGTTACTCAGTGTTTCCCTAGCCATCACTGCATTCTTTGGGAAACACTTGTAACCATCAACAACCTTTCCTATGTCGTTACCTCCTACACTAAGACACACTACTGGCTTGGTACCCTCCCCTGACAAAACTCTATCTATCCTCTCAGCTACATGCCGTATTCCAGCTCCAGGAAAACACACCCTATTCCTACTTTTCTTAATGATTATGTTGAAAACCTTTATTGATATCGTGTAAAAAATGGTGAAATATGCAAGACTTTGATTCCAGTGCCACTTTTTTAAAACTAAAAACACAATTTACATAGATAAAAACACAAACAGTCAACAAGTTTACGTAAACGTAGATTACTTCAGTCAAGAGAATAGGTGTATCCCCAAAACGGGTGTGTGAGTGATGGAGATGGTTTAAAAATGCATTGTGTATAATTATGACAAGACAGCTCAGCCATTAGTTACCGTATAATGCCAATATCCATGAATACACTGCACAGCAGCGAAGCAATAAGTATAAATTACAGAGAGTAAGGCGTAGAAGTAAGTACAATGCATAGAGATTGAGTACAGTATACAGAATGTGAAGACAGTAGACTACTTAGAAAATATAGAGAGTACATGTATGTGAGTACAGTACGTAGAGGTGAGTCAAATACACAAAAGAGGAATACTGCACAAAGATAGTTATTAGTGTAAAGAAAACAGCAGGTGGGTATCGTCAACAGTTCAAGCAGTCCATGGTGCTGTAATCGCAACACAGAGTACAAAATTAAAGTCTGTAGGATGATGATTACACTTACGTAAGGTTGTATCGTAGTCCAGCAGTGAAGTGGTGGAGATTCTTCTGTATGTCTCAACCTCTAACGTCTATCTACACTCTCTACCACACACCTATAACAGATACACACACACACACACACACACCTGTGTGACCTCCGCTGTAAACAACAATCTGTATGTTCACTGTATGTTCCTTTACCTTTCTCTAATGAAGGCTTTTGTTAAACCACCAATGTATGTAATAAGTCATTTATGTCCAATGTATATTTTCAGCCTTCGGGCAGCAAAACTTTTCCAATAAACCGTTTAATATTATTATTATTATTATTATTATTATTATTATTATTATTATTATTATTATTATTATTATTATTATTATTATTATTATTATTATTATTTTTATTATTATTATTATTCACATTAGCAAAATAATTTGGTGTATGTCATGTGATTTTAAGGCAGATCGTTCGGCTGAGTCTTCCAACAGATTTGACTCTTTAAATAAGTTTGACTTCTATTATAAAAATTATTATATACTGTACTTCAGTAATTTTAGATCTTTGACCTCTTCCGTCCTATTAACATAACCAAACTTTAGGTAAATTAAATTCGGTTAAGATATGGTAAATATGGTTACGCTAGTTAGTTTAATAATTATGATCAGTTATATTATATTGTTACTATTTACATAATTGGGTCTATCAATGCACCAGTTTGATTCCTAAACAACCTGACAGAAACGTACACACTTCACAGTTAATATGAATTTAAAGTACCGGTATATACACAGGGTGTCCCGTAAATACGTTTCATAAATCAGGGGGTGTATTCCTGAGACATAAATAAAGATAAATGACTAACTGACCACCCCACTTACTTTCACACTCAAAACTTAAGGTTCACACGACAGCTTGGAAAAGTACACAGTCACTCATACAGGAGCAAGAAAAATTTGTTTACGTACATGCATGATACGTCGTCACAGGACAGTGTGATGGCAGGGGGCAAGCCGGGAGCCAATGAGCGACACGCTCCCTCCAGTGACGTGATAAAGTTGGCCCCGCCCTCCAATGACGTCACCACCCTGGCTCCACCCACCAGCGGAACACAAAATAGTAAGTTACAACAAGACACACACGGCCTATGTGCCTCCAGTAGCCTTCTAGGGGTGCTGGAGGGAAGCTCATGAGCACCAGGTAAACTGCTTGTCCAAAAGGCTCTCTCTAGCTCAAGGGAGAATTCATTTCAGTGACCTCAATAAAATAATTTTCGAGACAAATAATTTAACGGTATGTACCTTAAACTTCTTCGTAACTTTATTTGAATAATTTTAGGAACTAGTTTTCTTGACTCTGATTTTTTTCTAGAAAATTGTTTTTTGGGTAAACTGAAAATACAAATATTCAATACATCTTTATAAATAATTTATCAAGGACTAAATTAGATATACAGTTGTCCAAATGATCTCAATAGGTCTTCAAATAGTTTCATTAGGGAGTAAAACTTAGGTAGTTTTCATCATGTTATTATCGTAAACTTCCTTCTGAAACTTGACTTTTTATGTATATTTTGGGACAATAAACATGATTACTTTCAGTGAATATTATCTTTATATTTACCAGGCATCCTAGAGTCGTATTTCGATAACCTTTCATGTGAATTACTCCTCTGACTATATATATATATATATATATATATATATATATATATATATATATATATATATATATATATATATATATATATATATATATATATATATATATATATGTTGATAAAAGAAACAAAAGCGTAATAAAACTGGGAAAATTAAAATAGTGGCACCATGTTTGATATGAATAACACACACCCACACATACACTATAGTCATCAGACCTGAATCTGTATCGATACTGGGAAATCCAGAACAAATTGAACGTGGAATTTATACAGTGTACACCTACCAAAAAAAGTGTCCGCACCTTTTCGCAGTCAAACAATATGAAACAACGAACCAAGTCCTGGCTAATATTAATAGCCCTACTTTCCTTATATGATAATGCATGATTTACCGGGTACAATTTCTGTAATGTTCGTAATACAGTTTATATACTATGTTGGTTATATGTGTATACTAAATGAGAACGTAAAGCACTTTAACATTAAATATACAGTATGTAGTCCATATGAGAACATTGGGATCGAAGCTTCTGTTGTTGGAAAGCTTCAAACCTTAGCATATTTATTATTAGCGTATCTCAGCCTTGTAATGTAATCTTATCGTTATCGTAGGATAGGCATGAATAGGGACTTACGTAAGGAACAAATTCATGAGGACCTACAGTAGAGTAAAGTATAGACGAGATCCTTGTGTATACATGGTTAACAGAGAATTCAGACACGATTTAAATGTTGGTAGGCAGAAGGCATATAATAGTTAAATCAATGAAGTAAAGCAATATTCGGCCTTACTTATTACCCCAGAAGGGCGAGCTTTGCCACGTCTCAGAGGTAGAGTTCCAAACGGTTTCAGGTGTGACATGTCTCGAAGCATGTCTTAGGTCTACAACTTGTGGGTGGAAGAATACTATTTATGTTTCGTGCAGGATGTCTGGGGAGCAACCTTTAAAATAAAGTATGCGTGTAGTCATAGTTTTATTCCCGCTTCTAGTTATCTAAGCATGTTACAATATGGCAACTCATCCCCATAGTTGAATGATAAAGGCCTCCTTGTACGTTAACCAAATATATTATGCAGACTATATTGTTTTCAAGCATGTTTACTGGATTATATTTGCCGTTGTAATTCGAGATTTGATGCTACTGCACATACAGAAGAATTAACAGGATTTTACAGAAATGCGTTTTGCAGTCATGCTTGCCAACCTTATCGAGACAGCGGGAGGTGCGGTGCTTAACTAAAAACCATCGGACCCCGGGATGATGAGGACACTTTTTTGGGTACAGCAGGTGTCCCTTTATTTAGAATTAACTTTTTACGTATGATATCGGTATATCTCAAGGTGACATCAATATATAATGAGATGTATTGTATCACCAATTCCAATGAAATTGTTTTCAAGATTCAATAAGTTGATGGCTTAATTGAACATTCTATCCAGGTTCATGTACAGTCTAAGGTGAAGGTGTAAGTACAGGTACATTTAAAGGTAAAAGTGATATAAGGTACTTGTACTGTACATGTAAGAATACAGGTACAAATATTTGTACTTACGAGTACAAATATTGGTAAAAGTGGGAGTACACATAAAAGTGCAATAACAAATACAAGTACTGTATAGGAACACGTACACGTCAGAGTACGAATACATATACTAGTTCAGGTGTATAGTCAAGAGTAATTATTGTTACATATAAATGTACAAGTACAACACAAATACGGGTTCTTGTACAGGGGCAATTATGTATGGGAATAGGTACAGGTACAGGAAAAATTACAGGTACAAGCACAAGCAAATTTGCACACCTGAAATCATCTAAACATGGTGCCCCTATATTCTTGTAGTGGTCAAGGTCTATGATACAAGCAGTGGCTGTCGTACTCACATAACAGACAAAAAGCACAATATATATCTTGACCGTGGATGGATGTAAGTATTTGTAACCTCTAACTGATATATCGAGATAAGAGAAATACAATTTATATTAATTTACAAAATAGGAGTTTAAGTTAACAGATAACGACCATTCTCTTTATTTAAGAGCTAAGAGAAGAGCCCCGTTAACAAGGAGTTTACCCGAAAAGATTTAACATAGACTTAGCAAGAATCCAGCAGTGGGAGGCGTGTGTGAGAAGAGAAATACACAGTTAGCAAAACAACGAATAAAAGTTATACTGTAGGGAGTTTCAGTTATAGTATAGAACATCTCCCACAAGCTAGTGAGTTGTCTATAGGCTCACAGCGGAGCAAAAACTGGCCAAGTCATTCCTGCAGATAATATGTATTTTGTGAATTGACTTAAAATTAGTATTATAATGAGTTCTTGTCAGATGATAATTGTCAAAGTTAAGTATATATATATATATATATATATATATATATATATATATATATATATATATATATATATATATATATATATATATATATATATATATATATATATATATATATATAAACATTAATAACCTAATTTTGATAAAAATAATTACGATTTTAATGACAATTATGCTCATGTAGTAAGAATAATGATGATATTATTTCTCTTCATAATGTTAATGATTATTGATATTATTATTATTAACATTATGGTATTCTTATTCTTTTATGTTCCTCAGAAGCTTTACAGTTTGAAGCCTTACAAAACGTAAATCTTATGAAAGTTGTATATAAAGAAATTTCATATGCAAATAATAGATAATAATAATATTCATATCAAGTAAGATCACAAATATTATAAGTAAAAAACTGATTAACACAGACCAACGCAAATTTTATATAAGTATCAGAGTGATTCGCATAAGAGTAAAGTACAACAAAATACCGAAATAAAATATTTTTGAATTTTAAATATGAATTTCGGCAATACAGTACGTACGATCCCACTCAATATAGCTTCCAATCTCCTTAAAATTGCTTTCAAAAATGCCTTCAATAGGACTGGAATTGAGCCTTTGAGCGTGAACGTCGCCCTGGTGGCCAGATCATATTACTGGTGCCCAGCTGCCTACACCTCTTACCTCCACACATTTAGTTCCATCTTTAGTAAGTAGCGTACCTTTAACTGTGTGAAAGTAGTTTGGCATCTAAATTACTAATTAGTGTTATTGTGTGATTTTTTAGGCTCGTGCTTTGTTGTAAATAGTTTTAGAAGTAAGCTAACCACGAAAAAAACTTGTATGAAAATAAAAAATCTGAGTTAATATCAATAGTTTACAGTTACCTTATTACTATCACTTTCTAAATAATATGTTATATTGTCTAATAGGCCAGTCTTGAATATTTTTCGAATAAGGACAACTGTAGGTTCCGAGGCTTTTGAGAACTTGAGGAATATCATAAATTATCATGAATGGTTAAATTTGTTTTTCACTTCTTTTACAACATTTCAAAGAAATTCTTTTCTCTACTTAATGTAATAAAAAACCCTTTTACGCCTATCCATCTACACCCAAAAAATAAAACGTAAAGTAATACATTACGCTGAAATGTAAAAAAAAGAGAAAACTCTTTTATATCTTTCCATTGTGTCTGTATCATCGAAACTGAATTTACAAAACTTGCATATTTTTCGCTTCTCTTCCGAAGAATTTAAGCTATTAATTCTGACAAGCTTCTCCCATTAATTGTTTTTTGTTTTTTGTAAAGCATTTAGGCAATTCTAACAGAAATGATGCGAGCCAGTTTTTGCTGTTTTAAAACTACATAGACAGTGTTTGAAGCATTTAAAATAAATGATAGAATTCCATTAAATAATTTATCCACATAAATCTAAATTTTTTAAAAGGTTGGTTAGTTTATCAAGCAAGAATCAGATGTATGGAAGGATGCTACATGCCAGTGACATACATTAAAACATAAACAAACACATAACACATTGCTAAAGGACAATTAACAAGAATAAAAACAATGATTGAAACACATTAAGCAGAATCTCATGACAAGTTGATGAAATAAATACATTAATATCTCATCAATCATTAAAAAAACATCGTTTCTAAAATCTAAAGAACAATAGATACATGTTTTAATAAAATGTCTACACAGAAACGAACACACGCCATACTGTATGAAGAAAGTATGAATAAACAGCTCCACATTTATACTAAAAATACACCATGCAACAAACTAAAAAAAAGTTAATTAGTAAAAACACAAGCACGGAACTGCATGCTATCAGGTCTCCATATTTTGTTAAACATGCAAAAATGCTTCAGGCAGTCAGGTAAAAGAGAAAGTAGCCACCTGCCTTGATAATAAATACAAAACAAACACCAGTACTTCTTGGCAAAATGCTCGGAAACGTAATCTCGCTCAAGATTCTTCGAACGCTTCTGGAGACAGCTGGCAACTCAAGGCCGTTTGTTTACTTAGTATGTAGTAAAAATTATGAATAAATGCAAAAGTGATCGGTGATTGGGTA